AACTTTGATTTAGGGTTCAAAGGGAAGACTCTCTGTGGTTTTGAGATAAACATAATGCATTTGATACCTGTTTTAACACAGGTTTTTTTTGGCTTCCGGATAAAACTCACTGTATTAGATTGGAGAAAAGAATTTTAAATGTAGAAAAATAGCAACAAATTTTGCTTACCCATGGAGCTAAGATAATTATAGCTATTATTTAAGTAAAAGAAATTTAAGAAACAGTGAACTTATTGCATTAGTTTTAAATTGCCTACCCTCAGGAAAAATATTTATCTAAGGGTGACTTTCGATCGGTCAATTTATACATCAAATGGATTGCATCCCCCAAGGTTTCAATTACTCCGCGTACAATAACTCAATCTAACATGAAGAAACCCAAAAGATGACTCAGCCTCACACACTCGAAGAGATTCTTAAAAATATCAGAGTAACCCCAACCTAGAAAACTTCATCCCTTAAAATTCGGAAGCCCCTCCTTATATTTACTTTATAAAGCTTACAAATTCGTGCAAAAAATATTTTCGAGGGAGCCACAGAATGCATTAGATATGTTGGAAAGGAAGGAAAAACATAAAACCGAATCACAAAGGAACTAACAAGCGGTTCCACCTACTTCACCCTGCCGGCAAACTCTTCTAAGTGATTTCAACCCGGAAATGCCCATAAATCGATTGGATCTTGGGGGAACGAGGGAAAAGATGGGTTGTCTGTGGGTTCCCATACACAGAACCAAAATAAAAGTCGACAAATTAAATAGTAAATTAAATAAATATAAATAAATTAAATATTTGGTTTAAATTTTAATTACATCCTAATTATCCGCGACACAAAAGCTTTTGATTTAAAATCGATTAATGCTTTGCATTTCCAAAATTCATTTAATATCATTTTACTGGAACACCCTCCAGAATAACATTCTTTAAAGAAAGGAACTAAAATTTAATCTTTAGCGTACAGATAAAAAGTATTCAATAGTTTTTCCTCTGTGTATGGGATTCTTCGGCTACGGATGCATCAGACTTTATGGGCTAAATGAATGAATTGAAATGGGTGTGGACGAGTGTGTGTGGCTTGTATCGACTTGTGGCACACTTGTCTGGATTTTCGATCCCCATCCTCCCCCGTCGGAAACCGCCCCCTCGTGTGGGGTACAATGCAAATAAAAGTTCATTACAAGCTCAGGCCAAGGCGCTTAAAAAAACTGTTGTAACCGAGGCTTTTGTTATATTCTCCAGTCAGTCCCACTTTGTGTTGTGTATTCTACCTCTTTTATGGTCAACGGCCCCTTTCTGGCGCTTAGAATTGTGGGTGGCGAATGGAGAAGTCGCCTGGCCGGAAATGCCACATCCGTGTACCAGTCCATAAAGTCAATAAGGAAAAAATGGTAGAAAAAAGCGGTTAAAGTAAAGGAAATTTTGAAAAGCCAAAGGGGAAATAAATTAAGGACAAGCAATGATTTTCCAACTTCGGTTTCCTCACATTTATGATATGAATGTCCGGTTGGGAGTCCTCAAATAAACCTCTTCGATCGTAAAAGTCTTTAAACAACAAGGCTTTTATGAGCGATAACTATTGGCTGAATGTATCACGACATGAATTTATGACATGAAGCTGGAAACATTATTGAGTATAAAACCAGCATTAGCCATTAAATCTTTGGGAGTTTTATCTTTGGCAACTGCTGAGAGATGTTCTCTCCCCGTATTAATTGAAAATGTCACCGATCCGAGGCAATTATCGTAAATTATGCACACGCGCCCGAATCCAAATATTATTATTATTTTTATTACGTGCGTAGGCAAAACAAAAATCAAGAAATTCGAGCCACCCTCTAAAATTTGATGTCGTCTTCAGGGTGAGTTGTGCATAATGAAATGTCAACAAATGTGGATGGGAAAAGGGAAGTTGGCAGAAGTATAAAACAAGGCTAGGACACGGTCTTTGTTTCAGCAGTGGTTGCTCGACTTCCCCCGAGTCTTTGAAGTTGATTTGCGGAAATTGAAAACTTAATTGGCAGAGCTGTCAAATGGCTACGTTGTGAGTCCAATCGTATGAAAAGCAGAAGAACGAAATAGGGAGTTTAAATTACGTCTAGCGATTTCATGCTTCACATATGATGATTCTTTGTGATCTTTAAGTATTTAAGTTGTAACATGATTTTATACATTGATCAAGAAATAAATAGACAAATAATAAAAAAATTAAATTATATCTGCTTGTTTGTGCAGTTCTTATATAATAAAGATTTAAGTTGGATCCAGATTTGTGAAGGTAAATGTAACATATTAGGAAATTTAGATTTACTTACAGTATTTTTTTGTATCTATAGATTTACAATAGATTGGTTATCTTATCTTTAACCAAATGTTATTTTTCTAAAACTCCCCTTGAAAAATAGTGTTTCTCCCATAAAAAACCCCACGGGTGACTCATGAGCAGACATAACAAATAAATCCCCCAGAAAATCAGAGCCAGCCAAATCCCGTAAATCGCAAATTTTCTATGCATTTTACCCGTTTGTAGACTCAGATGTGGAAAAAAGAGCCAGATGGGAGAATATATATAAAAGAAACCATAAAAAATGCAACAGACCATAATAATTTCAACGTTTATTTTTTCGAACATTTTCTGCTTTTGTCGCAATCTTCCACAGTCTCCCACCGCACCACCCCTTCTTTGTCCATCGAATTCAGGGTCTGACTATGCAAAAATGCAGCAGCCGAAAAGCACATAAAATTATTATGTGACGAGGAACGTGGGGAGTGAAAATCGGGGGTCGAGGGGAAAAAGCGGAGGGACAATGCTCAAAGGCATTTCGGACTCGGCCAAAAATCAGACTCAGCATGTGCGCATAAAGCTCAAATAAACTCAAGTTGTTGACAAAGGGGTTAAAGGCCATAATTGTGGCCGTCGGCAGAGGGGGTTAATATGAATACGGGGTGGCCTAACCCTTCTCCAGGGGGAACCTTCCGAACGTGCCAGACTGAAAGTGGAATTTTCATTGGTTGTGTAAACAAAACCAGCGGGGGAAAATGAGCCAGATGAGCTAGTCGGAAAATTTTCCTTACGGTGCTACTAAAGTGATTTTTAAAAGGATGCTCTCTGCTTTTATGACCGTGCTAATGGATTTTTGTTCAAAATATTTCATTATTTAATAAAAATGAAAAATAAATATTTTGGAGAATGTCTCTGTGGATGCTAGTTTCCGATGTCTATAAAATTGTCATCATAATTGAAAATTTTAATGTGTAGAGCTAACAAGAAGAGTATTCCAAATGGTTATAGCACTAAATATTATTTAAAATACCTTTTCCGTAAGCTGAAAAAATGTGTTATCATTTTTTACTTCATTTGATTAAGAAAATATATTTATTCCTTTTATTTCCCCCTAAAATATTGTTTATTATTTGATAAAGAATTGGATTAAATTGTCCCAATTTTAACAATTATTTTTTTGACAGCCTTAAAAGTTTTTTTCTTGTCTCCCTTTTCCAAACATCCTCTGTTTTCCTTATTTTGCCTTTATGTCTTCGCTTCCTTCCTTATCTCCTTTAAAAATTTCTTTACAAAGCTAATAAAATGTATTATCAAACTTTTGCAGAAGTTCTTTGAAAAGCAACTCCATAAAATCAAATTTATGTATTACCTGCATCGTCCGCATCCAGTTTCCTTGCCCTCACTCCCCAGCTCCTTCTCGCCCATTTCCCATATCGTTTTTACTCCCTCAACTGCAGGAGGACAAAACCTCTGGTCGCACTTTAAATAAGCATTAAATTGATACAGCGGAAAGTTGTTTCCATCTCGTTTCCCCTTTTCACTCTGTCTCTTTCTCCGAAGACGCACTCCAGACACATTCTAATCGCTTTATAACTTCTAACGCAGTTTATCAGAGTCCTACCGCAGCTCACAGCCCTTCACCCCTTAATTCCGCCACCCAAAGTCACCCTCCCACACCATTAAAAAGGCTCAAAGGCAAAAGTTATTGTCACGCACTAAAGTCGCTTTCATATGGAGTTGTGTGGTGCACAGAGAAAAATTGTCCCTGAAATCAAAAATTTCTCCTTTTTATTGTACAAGAGTTATCTTTGGCATATCAAAATCTTATCCACTGTTAGTTATATAAAACATACATTTTTTCTAAGTCGAATATAGAAATGAAAATATGTTCGATTTTGTCTATAAGAAACCCTTTTATATTATTTAAGTGTAAATGATAAAATGGTAACCAATATAATAAAATGAGTTCACGGAATCTACTACATTTTACAAATGCATTTTGCTTGTCCGATCCACAAATAAATAAGTTTAATGAATACTGTTATGATAAAAAAAATATTTTCAAGTCAGAAAAAAGTGAAATACATAATTTGGTTATAATTTTTTTTGTGCAACTCTTATATTGGGATGGTAAAAACGGGATATTCAGACCCCTAACCAACAAGCCAATCTCCATGCAAAAGCCTTCTGCTTATAGCCTTCTTGCTCACACTTTCTCTAGGGTTTGGATGGGCGTCTTTAGTGTATTTTTGGTTTTCCTTCGCTTTTCTTCTTCCGCACTTTACTTTCTCGATGTTTTTTTTGGAACTACGTCTAGCAAACAAAGCGGAAATTATTGTCGACAGCGTCTGCAGCATTTTTATCCTTTCCATTTTCTTCTTTCAATCACTTCTTCATCTCGAATATATTTTTTTGCAATGTCATTTTTTTTGTGTCTGAGAAATACTTTTATTTTGTTTATTTGCGCTATGATGCATCGGCTATGAATGAAAACAAATAAAGTACCCCAAAAGATCTATGAGTAATCCACAGTACATATTGCAAAGAATTATTGCTATCTTTATAGCCCAATAGCAATTGAATCAAAGTGAATCCCCAGTGAGTCAGTCGAAAACACACCCCTTCCGATAAGATAAACCCGCACAAAACAATACTATCTGAAGTGTCAAACTAGTCCAGTGTAAATGTATATAAATTGGTCATATCTGTGGATTGAAAGGCAGTTCGCATTCAATAAGCAACGAGAGCAGTTCTCGAAAGGAATATATCAGTTTCAAAAGCAATCAAAGGATTTTAACAAAAACCTGCAAAATGTCGCCACCACATCACGAAGATCGTCTGTTTGGAATCCATTTCGGCCTGAACTTGGGCGGTCATGGCCATCACCACCACCATCACCACCCGCCGCCGCCTCCACCACCGGTGCACCATCACCACCACCACGGACCTCCGCCGCACCACCACGGACCTCCCCCGCACCACCACCATCACTATGGACCTCCGCCGCCGCCGCCCCACTACGATCATCATCATCACCACGGCGGCCACTTTGATCATCATCATGGTCCGCACGGACATCATCATCATCACTGTTAACCCAGTGACCAAAAAAGTCTATCAGAAATCAAATCTGAGTGGGCATCCGCACTAGTGGAAAGTTTGTGAAAATATTTATAAACGAATTTAATTTATTACATCAGTACACATGTATAAAAACTAAAAAAAAAGATAACAAAACCAACTAAAAATAAAAAAAATATTAATTATTAAAGCCTATAGAAAATATTGTTGTTTTAAAAAATATTAATTTCTGCAAAGAGTTGAATAATATGATTGTCGCATTCTTATTTCAATTGATTGTGGTTATTTATCATTATTGTTCTTTGTAAAACTCTGTTCCTACAAAGTGATTAATACATTTAGATAAAAAGTCATACCTAAAAATATTTGAAATATATTATTACTCAGTCTACGTAAATTCTTAGTTATTTCATTTACACCATAAACTGCTTTATATAATGGTTGTCTTTATACCCAACATGCTTTATTACCTCTAACTTATCAGCCCAGATATAAAAAGTACCTACATCGCAATTTGTTAGCAAGAGTCAACTGGATCAAGTTTAAAATAACATCTAATCTTATCTTGATTGACATGGCAAACACAAAGAAATCAGCAAAGCAAAATTTAACGATCGCTTTATTATATTCATTAAGCTTATAATCAAATCAACAGAATCAAAGGTATATAAAAAATTAATAATTAAGGAAACTCTAAACCAATAAGAAGATTAATTGGAACCACAAAAACAATTTGCTAAGCCGATGAACACAATGAAATTAAATATCAGTTTTGTTCTGTTTGGACTCGCTCCGGGTGGGTCACACAAAATGTTTGCCAATTACAAAACCATGGCAAAGTGTTTTTATTTTTTCCGTGGTTGTCACAAAACGCTAATTAGACAGCAGCTACCATATAGAGCGGGTCTCCCATACCCGTATATATTTGTCTGTGGGTTACGGCCTGTCATAAAATGTAAAATGCTGCCCCCGGCGTGGGTCGTATGGGTATCGACACCTGGAAAATATTGGTAATTAAAATTTGCCAGTTGTCGGCTAGAAAACCGAAAAAAACCGCTTCCATTTCGGCCTGTCTAATAATGTTGTAAAACATGTTGCCATTAAGTAAAGCGACAGACGCCAAAACGCCCCAAAGGCAAAAACTGAAAAAACAGGAAAAGTAAGGAAAAATAATTTAGTGGTAGGGAAATACCCTATACATACAAAGAAAACGGAAAACACTAAAAAAAATATCGAAAAAATACTTGTAAGTACATTTAGCAAACTCTTTGCTTATTTTGTATAGATTAAATATATAATAACTTCAGTATTTATAGGGACTTAGAGAGCTTGCCAAAAACTTAATAAGCTTTTTGATAATAAAGTCTGTATTAAATTTTAAATACATATTTGACATTCTTGTACGCTGGCCAATAAAAATCTAAACCAAACTTACCTACTATCTCGCTGACAACTCGAGGTAATGGAATTGCTAGCAGTAAGTGACACGCGAACGCTCTCTTCAGGTTTTCGGCCAAGACTGTCAATTAAATATGAAAATTATTTGGCAAAAAATTTGACAATTTCATGGGACAGGTCGACAATTGACAGCCATGGGAGTGAAGTGCCCCTCCCCCTTAAATTGAGTAGATGACAATTAACGTCTCAATTCATAAATGTCGAGTCTGGAAAATCGATTCCTCAAACCGCGTTACCTGCTTTTAATTAAAAAACTTAAGTTATGCCGGTGGCCTGGCCTGATTCATGTTTCAGCCGCAAATGGAGCCGCTTGGCAACTGCGACTCAAACTCTGCGTATATCTTAATTGTTATTTGTATTTAATTATATGGCAAGTCGCCTCAAGTTTGCCACGAAAGTTGAAAATGTTGGAAAAACAACAGAAAGCGGGTGAGGAAAAAAAGTCAAGTTAAAGTTGCTTCGGCTTTTTTCCGTAATTAAAATGTTTACTTTACATAGTTGGCCAAGTGTTGACTCTACCGGTAAGAAGGTGAGTGTTGAAAGGTGAGAGAAAACAACAGCTATATATGCTGGGGTATCCATCAGCTACTATCTGTCATTATACAAGAGGGCGAAATCATTTATGTCACGATAAAAGTGAACAATCTGGGAGAATATTGAGTAACAATGACTTATTTGTTGTTAAGCAAGCAAATGCAATGATAGGACTACTTTTCTTTATGTAAAGCTGTTGTTGAATTCTACAATTTTTAATAACCAAACAAATGCAAGATTTTTTCGCCAACACTACTATACATATCTTAAGTTATTTAGGCAGACATTAACAACCCTTCGTCGGTTTATCAAGTTACTAACTTCCCAATTTCCTCTTCTTTCAGGTATGTACTCAAGGCAATTCCACACCATAAACTAGAGTTATGAGTAGAGTAAGTAATGAAACGTTCATACACTGATCACCAATTCGGCCTTATTGTCCATTAATGAGTTTACCCAACTAAAGTACAAACCAATAACATAGAGCAACAGAAACATACTCCCATAGACCGCAATCAAATCGGGAGGAAAAACCCATTACCGTACTCACTCCTCATGATCTACCAACAGGGGGGACCAATCATAAGCCCATTCACATAACAATCACAGGCAATTTCTGGAATTCAGTTCGCAGGATTACTTGGAATAATTTAATAAACCCATGAAAAATCAAAAATACGATAAGTGCGGCGGGACAACGGGGTTATCCTCCCCCAACGCACGGTGCAATACGAGTTCCCCACCGAAAACTCTCATTAAATAAACATACTCGACGCAGAGACAAAGGCCAGGCCATATCGAGTTCGCATTCCGAAAAACTAGTCCCAAACTAAGGCCTCGTAATGTCGCTTGTTAGTACTAATGATGGGCTGGACCCCTGTTCCCGCCCGATCCCCCCGCCGTAACCTCTTATATCCATTCCCCCGCCCCGGAAAAACGCAAAATAAATTTGTACATCTGCGATAGAAGCCGCGATATGGGAGCCATGGCCAAGACCTCGGAAGGCCAAGAAAGAGCGTTGCCCATTTCGCCTGCTTGTCATAAATTGCCATGGAGCGCCAACAACAAGTTTCCTTTGACTTCGGCGTTCTAGGCGCTTTATTGTCAGGGATGGCATCGTGATCTTTAAGGAAAACAGCTAAAATGTCACCTTTGGCGAGAGAAAGTCAAACACATTAGTGTCTTATTTTTTGTAAAGTAAACTTATAATTATTTCATAACATACTTATTGCAGAAAAACCCATAAATTTATACAAATTAAAATCTTTGAGCTGTTCTCATTCAAAAACGATAAGAAATGGCTTTTTTAGTTATACATTGTATCATGTAATTAACATGATTCATTACAAGCAATTTATACTTTTATTATGAGTTAAATTCTAAAAAAGTTTTCTTAAGTTCACGTTTCGTGACAGCTCATCTCTAATCTCTAGTCAAGACTCCCAGGTTCGACCAAAAAAACCGAGTCGGCCACAGTCCATTGGATCCCGGCCGTCGCGTCCAGGCTGTAAAAATTAATAGCCAACATAATAAGCGGCATTTTATGACAAGCGTGCACCTCAGTACACACACACACAAGCACACTCTCACGGACACGGGGCCACGCCCCCTTGTGTGTGTTTTTTTTCAGAGCCAGGGCTTTTGGGCAAACATTTCTCATAGACTCACACGGGAGAAGTCATTAGGTTAGGGATCAGTTGGCCACGCTTCTTCATCGCAGTCACTTTGGAAATTACGCAAATTGAAAGTTACATCGTTATGGAGCCGGCAAATGGGAAAATCAGGAGGTAAGCTCCGCGACTCCCCCTCAAGTAGATCCAAAACCAACCGACGAGTTATGGTCTTCATATTGGCGCTGCGAGATTTCGCTTTATGATAATTACACGCAGCGTTCAGATTTGTTTTTATACGATTTTGTATAGGAAAATTGAAAAACTTTTCCACGGCTTTGGGGCTGTGTGCGAGGAAAATAGATGGTCGATTATGTAAGAGTTGATATGGGAAGCTTATTTATATAAACAAGCTAATGGATTTTGTGGCTTTTAATTGGAAGAGAGGAATTTGTGGATGATGAAGTGCTCATAAGTATTGACTTCACGCTGGTTAAGCTCATTCCTTTTGAGAAAAAAGTGATCGCTTAAGGCAGCTCTTGTTTATGATGGTTAAATAACATTTAATGCATTTAGCCTCTGAGATCTCTGGATCTCTAATCATTCCAGGTCGTAAACAGAACCTGCCTTGGGATCCACATAAAATCGTTACCCTGAAGCCTAAAAAACCAATACGGCCTACTCTACCCAAATACTAAACGATAAAAACTTTTTAGAACTCGGCTGGAAATCGTTAAGAGTCGAAGCCTGACTTTTAGTGTCCCACTTCTGACCAAACGAAACCAAACAAACAAATAAATATACATAAAAACTAAGCACAAAGTTAGCAAGTTGAGTGGAACTCTAAATCGAATTTCGAGTTGGCTTTTGATTGTTTTTATATAGCTTGAGTCACTATAAAATTGATTGAGTGATAACTTTAAATGGCAGGGACCAACAAAACAGATCTATGATGCTAATTAGTTTTGAATGAAGATGGAAACTAAATGGAAAATATTTTTACCTACGCAAGCAATTCAGTCAATAAATCTTTCAACAAAACCAAACCGAAGACGAATCACACAAAATGAGATTTGTCAAAGTCGGTCCAAAGCCTAACGAACTCTTCTGGCATATAAAATGCAAATTAGCTACAAAATGGTTTATCTCTTAGCCCCAACCCCTGCCATCCATTATTCAGTTTTTTTTTGCTTCCAGCACTTTACATTTTCTTATCTCCCTCAAAATGCATTTTCTTGTATTCGCTTTTAATTTATTTTTCCATATTTTTTCGGTCTGTGGCTTGCATTTTTATTACTTGTCAAAATACAATAAAATTTATGGCAAGTTGGCAATATTTTTAACGCCAAATGCAGAGCATTAGGTGCTGAGGAGAGCAAAGGGTAGGGAAACTACAGGCAGAAGGCGAAAAAAAATTCAAAGAAACCCCCATAAATCATGCAAGTGGAGTCTGGCCAAAAACAAAAAAAAATCTGCAAGAAAAAAAGGGAAAAACATTGAAACGCAAATGCCCCGCATTGAAGTCATAAAAATAAAATTAGCCGAAGTGGGAGGCACTTTGCAAAAAGGGGGAAAAGTGCAGCATAAATAAAAATATACCCACACGTCAATTTAAATGTGTATAGGAATTTCATTTATTCATTTATTAACAATGAACACTGTGCCACTAAATGCATTTTATGAGATTCGTATGTTTATACATCAAGTCCCTATTTAATTAATTTTTTTTCAAATCAACATCATCGACATAAAATTGAAATTAAATTCATTGTTTCAATATGTAAATTTGTTAATT